TAGAAACGATATTAAGGGCTGTTCACAATGAGGTAATGATTAATGAGCTAGTCTCAGAAACCATTACTATTGTATAATGTTTTATTCTCAGCATATGTCCATACTTTTCATTAGAGAAGGCTGAAACTTAATAAATAAGCACCTTATCCTAAGATGGTGAACAAATTTAGCATGAGTTCAAAACTTGAGTACCCCCAACCTTGTGCCCCTGAATTAAACTAAGTTAAGGTACCTTGCTATAGAGTAATGATTAGCAAGTTATCTTATTATTACGGCACAGTGGGTTTGATTCTTATAAAGTGCTCCACTTCAGGTAGTAAGAAGTGACAGTTATGAGGATAGATAACTCTACCTTGAGTGGCTCTTGAGGTTTGTATTGGTTGAATTTTAGCTTTAAAAAATCTGTTACTTTAACTTAGCAATAACATGCAACATTACATCATCACATTTCTTGTGTACACCTGCTTCCTTTTTTTTTTCTTTTTAATAATAAAGCATTCTGATTCATGGTTTTGAATCATTTACTTATACCATATTGGAGGTGGGTGTTTTTTAAAAATTTATTCTTTCTTTTATTTAAATGTCAGACTTTGGAAATTTTTTAACCAGATTTGAGTCATTTTTTTTTTTTTTTTAAATATGTTGTTTTTTTAAAATTTCAACTTTTGATACGTTTTTGTTGATAAGCAGATAACATAACAATTGTGGGACCATAATGTAAAAATGGCATACCAAGTTTAAATTTTATTAAATCTATTTTTTGCACTTTGTAATGATATCTTTGGAAAAGGCAAGGTTTCATAGATTGATTTGTTTTTTATGGCTTATTTTGCAGGCCAGAAAATACTTTTAGACCTTAAGAATTTTTTGAAATAATAATGATTTACTGATACAAGGAATGTCCATTGTGGTGTAATGGATATTGGCTCAGAATGAGAAATTGTTGATCTAAGTTCAAATTCCAATCTGGTTCATTGTATTTACTTATGTGTAAATAACCTCTGGAAAGGTATGAATCCAATTCTTTTCCTTCCAGCTATGAATTGAAGACCAGGAGAGACATGAATTGAAAGAGATATAATCTCCCAAGTATATATAATGTATGGTACTTAACTGACTGACTGATACAAGTTCTACTAATTAACCCATAGCTTGGGGGAGAAGAGGTGGATTAATACATTTCTCAAGGGTATTTGCATATAAGGGAATATTACAGACAACAGTGGAATTAGAACTCGGCTCTCTGAATTCCAAGACATTATCCATTACACCATCCACACCTACATCTGCACCTACAACATATGGTATTCCCAAGTGGTCATCCATTTAGGTACTGATATTGCTTAACTTCAATGATTGTATAAGAACAAATGTTTGAATATGATATGGTCATAAGCATCATTACAGCTTGCCATTTATAATGTTTAAGTAAAGGAATTTGATTCTACTGAAAAGGGTGTGAATATTTGCATGGTTAAAGCCTGGGCTGCCTTGAATAAAATGGATGTAATCTGGAAATTTGATCTACCAGACAACCTCAAATGGAGATTCTTTCAAGCCACTGTAGAGGCAGTGTTAATGTATGGTGCCACTGCTTGGACATTAACTAAAAAAAAACCTAGAGTCAAAGCTTGATAGAACTTACACTTGGATGCTGAGAGCTATATTTAACATCTTTTGGAGATAACATCCAACTAAATTACAGTTCTATGGATCCGTCCCTGATATTTCTACACTCTTATGCACATACAGAATGCACTTTGAAGGACACTGCTGTTGAGTGATCAACTGAAGTGGGCACCTAGCCATGGGCCAAGATGTATTGGTCACCCAGCAAACATGTGCATTGACCAACTATGTTATGACACAGAATACCTTCCTAATGACCTTCCAACTTTGATGTAGGACTGTGATGGTTGGTGTGATAGGCTCATAAATGTCTGAGCTAGCTTGAACAGATAAATACCATATAGGGAAATAAAAATTTTTTCTTCATTTTTGTTTCTTTCTCTGTGTTTGGTGTCTAAACATTATTGTTTGAGTCATGTTTGTTTCCATCTTGCTTAACAAATTCTTTTTTCTATTTGTATTTCTGATTGGCTTAATTCATCTGACCAATCAAATTTGAGCTTCTATACAGACCATGTTTTTTCTTTGATGATCATCTCATGTGAATTTGTGTCTCTTTGCTACAAGTGATTTGTTACCATACACAGTGGCTACAAAAACAAGATTCTTGGTTGTTACCACCCAAACAACTATTAGAATTACATGTAAAAATCAATGAGAAATCCATCTACCATCATGTTTCCTGAAATAGAAAAAAACATACACATGGACAACAGAATTATTACAGAACAATTTTATATATATTTGTTTTGCTTTTATCTTTTGGATATGAGGGTGGTGTAATAAATAACTGCTCAGAATACGAAATTGGAAACCTGAGTTCACATTCCAGTTGAGTTTTGTTATATTCACTTAGGCACAAATATCCTTAGTAAAGGTATGAATCCATCTCACTCCACCAGTAGAGCAGACTGGGCTCTCCTCCACATATGGGTTAAACAGGAGAGCAGTTTTGGTTGACAGCTAGTCTATTAGACAATTCCTGATGAGTCACATTATATAGGCAGCTTATAAAACACAATGACTTAATAATCCTGATTGCTACTTATCTTCTCTAACATTAATATTAATGTATTAATATCAATGTATTAAATAGTTTTTTGTTTTTTTTTTGGTGGGGGTGACCCCAACAAAAAAAAACAAAATATTTAATACACTGATGTTAAATGAAACTACAAGTGAAGTTATCAAAGTTATACAATTTTAACCAGAACTAATTTATAGCAAGGTGGTCAGAACAAAGCTACATTGTAACTAAAACATGATATAATTAAATCAGTCTTGGCAGAAGTGTTTGATAAAGTACATTGCAAAGTACTGTTGGAACTGATAGTGTTATGTAGTGGTTTCACAGTGGAGGCTTGCATTTGTACTAAGTCGGTCCTAAAATAGGTTCGACATACAAAACGTTAGGAACTTGATATAATAGGTAACGACACAGAAATCTAGTTGTGGTGGCTGATACTTTAATATCCAACTAATGGTCGTCCGACATCGAGTGACTCACCAACTCACTGCTGACTCACTTGTTACTCTTACTACTCCTACTTATTATAGATGGGAGAGTCTATTAACTATAGAATAGGTGTGTTCCACTATAACAGATAGGTAACCTTAACATATTTGGGAAGTATATTAAAATAATCCAGAACCTATACTGGCAGCAAACTGCCTACATATGGATAGAAAATGAATTCAGTAAATATACAAAAATAGAAAGGGCTGTAAGACAAAGATGTGTCTTCTCACCAGACTTATTTGACCTATAAAGTGAGGAGATTCTGAGAGAATTACAAATCCTACCACAATTCATTATTGGACGCTGTAATCTTAACAAGATAACATATGCAGATGACACAGTGTTGATAGCAGACATAGAAAGGAAACTACATGAACTGCTATGAAATTTGGTAAAGGAAAGTGAGAAGAAAGGACTAAACATTGATTGCAGGAAGGCAATGGTTGTTGTTTTTGTTGTTAACCCAAAAGGCAAATTACAAATTTGAGATACCAATATCAAACAAGTACAATAATTTAATTATCTAGTAAGTATTTTAACAGAGAATAGAATGTGTGACACTAAAATCCGAAGGTGCATTGGAATAGTGAAAAGTACTTTCTGAAAGCTAAGCAAAGTATTAAGAAACAGGAAAATTTCATAAGAAACAAAAAAAGTACTGAATTGGTATGTAATACCAGTTCTCCTATATGGCAGTACATGCTAGACAATCTTCTCATAGATAAAGAAAAGACTTGAAGCAACAGAAATGTGATTCTACAGAAGGATGCTGAGAATATCATGGACTGAACATATGAGTAACGATTTTGTAAAATGGTAACAAAAAAGACACTTATAGTTAGAATCAGAGAGATAAGTGAAATTTATAGGTCACACAAGGAGAAAAGAGGTCAAAGGGAATTTGACACTCACGGGACATACTGAATGAATAGATAGGTACCTAACAAGCTTGTGTAAATGGTTAGTGGAACATGAATTAGGAGGGATATAAAAATGCAAACATTACTAAGAGCTACAAAAGATAGAAAGCTGTGGAGAGCCCTGATCACTTAGTTCTTGGATTCTCATCCAAATTTTACGCAAATATATTTTTTGAGGAACTTACTTAACATCAGAAAAAGGGAATTGAAATATCTAAGTCTCATAATGAGAAAAGAGAGCTTAGAAAATTTTATACTCACAAGAGAGATTGAAGGCAAGAGGGAAAGAGAAAAACAATGCATAACCTTCCTAATGAGTTTGTGTAAATGGATGGGGAACAGGGTTTAAGAGAGTTAACAAAAAGACAAAATTTATTAAGAGCTACAAAAGAGAGGAAGTTGTGGGGAGCCATGATCACTAACGTCCTGAAGGAACATGACACAGAGATGATGATGTTTAGTTTTGATGAGATGCACATATATGTAATTATTAAATAAAGATTTTAGGGATAATATTCAAAATAAAACATATATATTTGGTCATAGGGGGCTCTGGATAGCAGTAGTACCTTTGATGTCTAGCAAACTGCACCTTGGAATGGACTCCATCAGATTAAAACACTCAAGATGCACCACATGATGAACACACCAAGAAATCATTCACAGAGGCCTAGGTTTTGCTACATGGCTGCAACAGATCAATGAGAATGGTGGACAGCTCAGCATATCAATGCTCTAATGACTCCTTTTGTGGTTAAGGGTGAAAGAATATGATGGGGGGGTTTATCATTTTCACAAAGAAAGAATAATAGCCCAAACCATCAGTTATGCACATAAAATCTATCCTTTTATACAGGGAACTCAATCCCCAAAATCTTGTGAAATAATTAGAATCATGAAAAGATCCTTTTTTTGGAAATTTTATTAGACTTCCATATCATGTTGAAACATCAGTTCCTGTATGATCACCAAAGTTAAGAGACATCATGCCTGGTCAGTACAAAGATGGGTAACTGCTTGGGAATTCCAGGTGCTGTAAGCTTGGATATGTGGGTGATATAATGGATAATGGCTCAAAATTGTTAATCAGAGCACTGAGTTCCAATTCCAGTCAGGTTTGTTGTATTCACTTATGTGCAAATACCCTTGGGAAAGTTACAATTCTGCCTCTCTTTCCTCCAGCTATGGTTGATTAGTAGAACTTCTATCAATAAATCATTACTATCTCCAAAAAAATTCTGACAATCTAAAATATTTTCTGGCTTTAAATAACTGGCAAAATATTTGATAAGCTGTAGAAAATGAATCAATCAATCAAGCAAATTGAAACTTTATCAACAACTCATGAATAGCATAGTCTGTTTGACCGTTCTCATGAAATTCCTTTCACATTTGTCACAATTTTTTTACATTTTGAGCCTTTTATTTTCCATCTTATTACAAACACTTGTTCTTCTATGTTCATGATCAGTTAAATATATCGGAAAATAAAACTTGCACAAAAATAGACATTTACTAGTACCTAATGTCTGCTCATCATAGTATAAGCCATAGGTGGGCACTGTTGAACAAACACAAATATATATATATATATATAATAGCTTGTCAGTGTCATGGTTGGAAAGCTGAAATTTCATAAGATAGATAAATCAAACAGCTAGATATAAGCAAGCTTATATGTGTGCTAGTGTGCATACACAAGCAAGCAAATAATCATCAAATTCATACATGAGATGTAAACATAATAGTGGTCGATGTTCTTATATAGAGCAAAGATATATATTAATTAGTACTTATAAATGTACCTACATTTCGGTTTCCAACTAAAGTTTCACTGGATTACCAGATTACAAGACCTTGTGCCTAACAAGATGGTAATTCAGCGAAACTTTAGTTGCACATAGGTATACATATATGTACTAATATGTATGTATACATATATGTACTAATATATATTAGGACCTTGAATAAGTTCTCACTCTTTTCCAGCAGATGGCGTTCACACAACTATGTATGTATAGTTTCAGATGGTAATGCATCTATAAGGAAGTACTATAAGCAAGCTTGAAATTCAGTGTATGTCATTTTGCCGAAGTGGAAACGTCTTTGTTCTTCATAGCGTTAAACATGTTGGATTTCATACCAAAATGTATTTGCGTGGAATTTTACTGTACTACTTTATTCAAAAGAAATCTCCAGCTGAAGCACACAGAATTCTTGTTGAGACTTTTGGTGACCATGTTCTGTTGGAAACAACATGCAGAGATTGCTTTAGATGCTTAAAAAATAATTGTTAATCTATGTGAGCTATCTCCCCTGAAAACTCTCCCTGCCGGGAAAAGGACTTCCGGTTGGAAGTCGGGGCGGCGGCCATGTTTGTTTATACTGTGTAGTGAGTGAGGAGTCGAATAAAATATTCTCTCCGTATCCGTTGTCGAAGTCCGTCATTCACATGTTTATATTTTTCTTTATGCACCTTGACAGTCCTTTATTTTTATACTAACATTGGTAGCAGAGCGTAGTTATGGCTTCAAAGCACATTTCACCGCCCGTCTTAGTTAAAGACAAGTACAGCACGGAAAAAAAAATAATGCAAATCTGGGGAAATGGCCACGTCGCTTGACAAAACAAAACACGCCCCCCATAGTATTTCTTTCACTGGAAGGAAAACCCAGAGAAGCTGTATTGGAATTGGATGTTGCGGCACTTAATTCTGAGGATGGAATGGCTAAACTGTATGAAAAATTGGACACGCTTTTTTTGGAAGATATAAACCAGTCGGCCTTTCTGGCCTCTGAGACTTTCGAAGGATACCGGAGACAGCCTGAAACATCAGTGGAAGACTTTCTCATCAACTTCGGCCGACACGTTGCTAAGTTGAAAGATTTCAACATCATCCTGCCTGAACCGGTACTTGCATCCAGGGCATTAAAGAGTGCTTCCCTCAACCCTGAAAATGAAAAGACTAGTCAAAGGCGACTGTCGGCGAACTGACACTCTCTTCCATGTCGGCACAATTAAAGAAGATTATGCATAGACAGCCGTCTGAAGCTTCATCTATGAACTCTACACCCGTAGTGGTCAAGAAGGAAGATGTTATTGCCTTTACTGAAAATAAAAACGAACCTAGCGAGGTATACTATGGTCGCTCTTCCCACCGCCGTGATTCGCATTTTAATAGCCGGCGGGAAAAACATACCGCGGTGGAAAACGACATAGCAACAACAACAACAAAACACGCTCCACTGACAAAAACAAAATAAACCCGCTAGGACCCGAAGGCAACCCCACTGTGTGCTTTAAATGTGGCTGCAAATTTCACTGGTCTTACGACTGCCCTTATGTCGACGATACCGGGACAAACATGAGGACGACGAATACGAAAGTTACCTGTATCTGGCTAACATTGTGCTGATGAGTCAGCAAAAACGCGAGGCAAATGGCAACACGCTTTTGGGTGAGACACTTGGTTCTGCTGTCCTAGATAGTGGTGCATCTGGCACCGTTTGTGGAAAAAAAATGGTATGAATGTTTTCTCAAGAAACATTAACTGATGCACAGAAAAAAAAAAAATAATTATGAGGAAAGGAGTGAGAACTTTTAAGTTCGGGGATGGAAACAAGCTGGACTCTCTCTACAATGTGACTCTACCATGTGTCATCATGAACATTGACGTCAATATTGTTACCGATGTTGTGGATTCTGACATTCCACTTCTCTTAAGCAAAGATGCAATGAAAAGAGCTGGAACCTGTCTCAATTTTGAACATGACAGTGTGACGATGTTTAAAAAGAAAATTCCATTGAGATGCACATCGTCTGGTCATTATCACATCCCTATCACCAGACCCCTACCAGATAGAGGTAAGCTCAAACACATTCTTCTTGTTAAAGAAATCTCCTCTAAAAACAAATCAGAAAAAGTGAAAGTTGCAACCAAATTACATAGACAATTTAGTCATCCCAGTAGTAAGAAATTATGTGATTTAGTTAGAAATGCTGGAATAAGAGATCCTGAATTTATGAAAATCTTACAAGCACTTCCAAATTCCTGTGAAGTGTGTATTCGCTATAAAAAAACGAACCTAGACCTATTGTTGGATTCCCATTAGGATCTTATTTTAATGAAACTGTTGCTATGGATATTAAAAGATTAATGGTAACAAGGTACTGCACTTGATTGACCATGCTACCAGATACAGTGTCGGCATTAGGATTCCAAGTAAAGAAAGATCGGACATCATCAGTGCTATGTTTAAACACTGGATAGCGTATTTTGGGACTCCTGGATCTATCTTAACTGATAATGGTAGGGAATTTGATAACGAATCATTCCGTGACATGGCACAGAATTTAAATATCGTTGTGCGTACCACTGCTGCTGAAAGTCCATGGAGTAATGGCTTAAATGAACGACACAATGGGATATTGGGAGAAATGGTCAAAAAAAGACTGTAGAGGACACAAATTGTAGTTTTGAGATAGCACTAGCATGGGCTATAAGTGCAAAGAATACACTTCACAGTGCTCACAGATTCAGCCCCAATCAGCTTGTTTTTTGGTAGGAATCCCAATCTGCCCTCCTTTTTTGAATGATAAACTCCCCTGCATTAGAAGGTGTCTCTACCAGTGAGATAGTTGCCAGTAACCTCAATGCCATGCATGCAGCTAGAAAACAATTTATTATGTGTGAGTCTTGGGAAAAATTAAGACGTGCACTTCGTCATCAAGTTAGGACTAGTACAACACAATCCTACAAAAATGGTGATGTTGTTTTCTATAAGAGAAATTTCTGTGATAGATGGCTCGGTCCAGGAACTGTCATAGGGTGGGAGCACAAGCAGGTACTTGTTAAACATGGGGGCACATATGTAGAGTGCACCCATGTCGCCTCGTCTCTCACCCAGAAACATATCAAAGTTCCTCTGAAAGTGAGGCTATAAGTGAATCCACCACTTCACAAAGTGAGCCTGAAGGATCTTCAAACTTATCAATGTCTGACGAAAACGATGTTGCTGAAGAACCAGGAACTCTGAATGATCATGTTGCACAACATCAGACTGTGAGAGAGGCACACGTACTACCAAAGCAAAATCCAATTCACAAAACAATTACGCTTCCCAAGCCAGGACAATCCATTAAATGCAAACTTGCCAATGATGATGATTCGAATGGCGAACATTGAACGTCATAAGTAGGGCAGGCAAAGCTACAGGTAAAAACAAGCATTTAATGAATGTGGCTATGGAACAAGGTGAACCCTTCTGGCTAGTCTTCAATCATGGAGTATTGGAATGGAAAGAAAATAAAGCCAGACCAATAAATAAGGATGAAGCTACCTCTAGTGATGAGGAAAACATTATGATTTCTTCTTCTAATCACGACCTGGAAATGGCAAGAAAAACGAACTCCAAAGCTGGGTTGAAAATAAAGTTTACACCCAAGTGCCTGACCAAGGCCAATGCAAAATATCCACAAGATGGGTTTATACTAATAAAAATGTCAATGGCAAACAGATCTATAAAGCTAGACTTGTGGCGAGAGGCTTTCAGGAAAGGGATGCGGGCAATATAAGAAATGATTCTCCAACATGCTCTAAAGAAAGTCTACATATAGCCTTGGCTATAATGGCATCTAACCATTGGGTGTGCAAGTCAATGGACATAAAAACAGCATTTTACAGAGCAAAGAGTTGGACCGATTGATCTATTTGCATCCTCCCAAAGAAGCCAAGGTACCTCCAGGATATATTTGGAAACTCTCCAAATGTGTATATGGTTTGACTGATGCATCAAGGTCCTGGTACCTGACACTCAAAGAGGAATTGTTGAAGTCAGGAGCAGTGGTTTCAAAATATGATCAAGCCATATTTACATGGAACTTTGGAAACAAACTGCATGGTATTATAGCTACTCATGTTGATGATTTTTTGCTTTGCAGGCTCGGAGATTTTTCAGAGCAGAGTCATGGACAGGATTCGTCACTTGTTTAGGATCAAATCTGAGGGAAGTTGCTGAGTTCAGTATATAGGATTAAGCAT